CAAAATCTTGCCTTCTAGCAAGGAGTCCATACTTTTTGAACCCAAAATAACAAATAGGACAAATGGCCTGACAAGTCTTGAAATGGTTAAAAGACTTAGCCAGAGGAAAGCCATTAGTCAGGTGTCCGGAGAGAAGCCATTAATCAGGTGCCACCTTAGTTTTAAGCGGAAAGGGGTTTATGAAAAATCTGATTCCCATAGAGATGAGGAAAACAGAAGGAACCAAAGCGGGATGCAGATAAACGGTTGTGTTGGTTGTGTTCACTTACACTTCGCAATGGCAACTAAACAGCCATCGTTTCGCTTCTGTACCTGGGCTACCTTGCTTAACAACGGTTGTCAAACAGGATGTGGTTTTTGCCTTTATAAACCCTGCTTAAAGTCAGAACGGGGCTGCTCTAAGGGTCAGCAACCTGTTGGTCAGAGCAGTTACCAGCTGGCAAATAAAGACTCTCCTTTAAAGTCCTTTTTGTATGGTCATGCCTCATTCGACTCGTAACAGTCTGAGTGTGTCATGAGAGCAGGGGAGCAGTTTCTGAAATTGGGACACACTCCAGAAATCTGAAATAGACCACTGTGATACTCATAGGTCATTAAGAGACTTCTGCAGAGCTGAGGGCCAAATAAGTTAACAGATATTTGCGCTCACTGCTAGGGACTTTTGACAAACAGTTAAATAGACAAGAACTACTTACAATTTTAGGGTTTTTAAAAAGTTGGTTATTGAAGCTGGATGTGGTGGTTCATGCCTGTAATCTCCGCACTCAGGAGGAGACAGAAGAATGAAGAGTTTAAGGCTAGCTTGGACTACACAGTGAGACTCAAAAAAAAAAAAAAAAAGTGGGTTTTTGGACTATGAATCCGGGGATCAAGGCATTTTAAAGATCAGGCTTTCTGTGTAGAACATTCTCATACTGTGTTTAGCATCTGGATGTGAGAGGTTATTTCAAAATTTATATAGTTCCAAATAAGCTTCCTAAAAACAGACTGTAAAAAAATTAAAGTAGTATGCCAAATAAGTAAGCATGTTAATGAGAATTAGGTCACTTATTCATTTTTGGTGTTCGGAATTGAGCCTAGGGCCTCCTACATGCTAAACATGCACTCAGTCACTAAGCTACATCCTTAACCCTTGCACATTTATTTTTAAGACCTAACAATCAGCTCTCTGTATCTGTGAGTTCTGTATCTGCAAATTCAACTGATTCTGCAAATTGTGTTTCATGTAAGTTCTAAAGAGTAAAACTTGAATATGCTGCACATCAAGTACTATGCAGAATCCACAAGGATGAAGTGATGTATGGGCATACTCTGATAAAGCCTTCCACACTTCACAGATCTGCACTCTCTCTCCAGCACTCATTTGAGCGTGGTTTGCCTCACAACTCATCTGTGTACTAGTTAGGCCTATGAAAGTTTGCATCTGTACTGAACATGTGCAGATTTTTTTTCTTATGATTCCCTAAATGACACATTATAACAACTATTTCCATTGTGCTACAAGTAATCTAGAGATCAGCTGACGTATATAGGAGAATATGCATGGGTTATATGCAAATACTAGGGTATTTTATATAAGGAATTTGAGCATTTGGGCAGGGTCTTAGGAACAATCTTCTACGAATATAGAGGGACAGCTGTGTTTAAAGATACTTTTATATTGTATATACTAGTACAAATCAGACAAAAGGGGCATCAAAGCTAATCCCAGTTGCACTCTCAGGGACTGTTTAAGAAAGATTTATGGTCTACTGCAGAGTTTGTTGCACTTACCTCTGTTTTCTCCCTGCTATTCAATCCACAGCTCCCTACCCATAGGTTAGGAGGGTTCTCATTTCATTTATGACTGACTCATCAATGTATTTCTTCTCGGTGCCTTCCCCTATCAGGTGATGTGTAGATATGCACAAACAGATAACCACGGTCCTCGTACTTCCTTTACAGGCCATTTCATTATGGCTATGTCCTCCCCAAATGCCTAACATCACAGTCCGTTCCTATTCTGGCATTTATCAACAACAAAAATATGGAGATTGCTCAAGTTTTTGGTCAAATGTGAAAGAGAACGACATGGATGGCAAAAAGCAACAGACTTCCGATGTACTTAGTTAGGCTAAGTTACTACATTATGCCTACATAATGATATAAGACTTCAAAGTGAGGTTTCTTCACAAAATCACCTCATTGCTCATTACAGCATCATAGCAAAGAGCCTCAGAACTGCCCATTTACAAGACAACGCAACTGATAGAAAAATTTCCTTTGGAATCTCAAGTTCCTACTTTCCTCAGCACTCTTACAGCTTGTATGTTCTGAGCAAATTGACCTATTACTGTATTCTTCCACATTAACTAGTCCCTAAAGTGGATATGAAATAAAGGAAAATGCCCACGGGTGCCTGTAAGTCCAAGAGGAAAAGCAGTGAGCATGTCCTCTGCTCACCAACCCCTTCTGGGCTGATGGACAGGAGACAAGGGAGGACAACAAGGCGATACAAGAAGGACATGCCAGGAACAGTGCTAGATGAGGCAGTTGTCACTCTGCCTTCTTGTGAATCAAAGACACTTAGCTTCAAATGAGAAGACTGAGAGACAAAACCTAAATATATAAGTTCACCACTTTTTACTTCTCGGCAAACTATGTCTGTTTTCTCTGATTCTCACAAACACAAAAATCTATAAACGCATATTCATTTAAAACAAAATCAGTCAAAACTGAAAATTTTACTTCTTGGCAAACTATGTCTGTTTTCTCTGTTTCTCACAAGCACAACAATCTATAAAGACATATTCATTTAAAATGAATTTAGTCAAAATCAAAAAAATACTTGAAAAGAAAGAAATAACTGTCATTGAAAGCTGTGTAACTGACACAAATTTATTTGGTACATGGGAAATTCTCAGAAAATAATAAAAATGAGGTGTCACCAGATTTTTGATTTTCATTTTCTTCAAATTTAGAATGAAAATGGAAAGAGGGGATGGAGAGACAGGAAGTATGCAAGTAAATAAGAGCTCTAGTTAATAAATTATGTTGTTACTAGTTGGTTAAGAAGTGTGCTCTTGCTGGGAACCGGTGGCTGTAATCCTAGCTACTTAGCAGGCAGACATCCAGGAGGATCACAGTTTGAAGACAGCCCGAGCAAACAGTTCTTGAGACCTTATGTTGAAAAAACCCATTACAAAAAAAGGGCTGGTGGAGTGGCTCAAGTTATAGGCCCTGAGTTCAAACCCCAGTACTGCAAAAAAAAAAAAAGTGTGATCTTGTGAGAAAATGACCCTCAGAACTTTATGGGGGAAAAATCATTTAAAAGGAGAAAATAAACATGAATCCAAAGCAGTAACCACATTAATTAGGTATATGTGTGTATTAGTTAGGTGCATGGCGGGAAAACAATTGGTCTGTTCCAAGAACAGATTTCCTCTTACACACATAAGTCATACTTGACTTCTTTCCTAATGAGTATTATCTTTCTGTATAAAAATAATTTCCAAAGAGGTCAGATAGAGATGAATCAATTTGGGTTGTAATACACTTGTGCACATGTATGCACATATGAATAGAATGCATTAAAAAATAATTTCCAAACTAAAGAGAGACAGAAACCAGAGAGGACTTGACTCCTATATGGGGCGAATTATTTACTTTTGTAAGTACAAAATACTCAAGATCAAACAATACACAGCAGTTATTATTTAATACTTGAAAGGTCAATGAATGGAAAAATAGGTTTATCCATGAGAGTTTTATATTAAATTAGTTTATTTTACCTTTTGGAAAAGAGTGCCTGCCTCTAGGTTATTCCTAGCCAGAATATAGAATACTTCATGACACATCCAGTACTTCATATACTACAATCCGACACAGCCATTAGACAATGATTGGACACTCGGGAGGAAATTTCAGCAGTAGTAAGGGACTTTGTTTTATTTTAAACTAAAAACATTGAATAATATACAAATTGTTTTTCTTATTTGATTGAAGGACGGCTTATAAAATTTTCCACATACTGACAAAGAAGCAACATAAATTGGTGTAGTAATACTTCTGCTAGAGTTGCCCTTAACCTTATTCCCTCCTTAAAGAAGAGGTGGCACACTCAGCTACTACAGTTTTTTTCTAGACCGCACAATGGTTTCCGTGTTGGCCTCCGTAAGTTTTGACTGAAACAAAGTGGGTGCTGGTAAGCTGACATGCGAGCAGCCATACAGTTTCTTAAAAAACAGAGAAATTTGCAAAGTGTGGCCTTATGGACTATAGAACCCATTTCTAGACCGCACAATGGTTTCGTGTTGGCCTACCGTAAGTGAACTGAAACCAAAGTGGTGCTGGTAAGCTGATCTTGACGCACATAAGTTCTTAAAAAACAGAGAAAAATTGCAAAGTGTGCCTTATGGACTTATAGACCCAAAAGGATCATTTCTGAATAAATGTGAAATAAATAAGTGATCCATGAGAAATATAATCTCTGGGCTACTTAAAACCTAGAGTGAGCCAAGTAGAACACTAATAATACCATGTAGAAATGTCTAGAATTATCATTCTAGCTCTCAGTTTGGGAGACATATCTTGCCGGAATATGGTACATTATTACAGGATGTTCCCTTTTTGGCCTTCTGGAAATTCTAGCCATTTTATTTGGCTATTAAGCTGTTTTCTTTCAGATGCAAACCAATACTGCACTCTATTACTATCATTAAAATACTCTTATCATGAATTACAAATATTATAAAGTAATTCTGCATGTATAAATATCTCAGTATTTCTAGCAGAATTTAAAGCATTCATAATGTACATAAAAGTATTTGTTTTTGGTAGGCCAGTACTTTTTTTTTTTTTAAATCATCGCTGTTTTAACAACGCTCTGTACATAGCAAAGCCCAAAACTGCAAAAACGGTAGCACCAAAACTTGCTCGAAGCCAAAACGTAGAGCTCTTGAGGTCAGCTTGTGTCACATGCCTGTAGTCAGAAAATATAATTAATATTTGAAACACGATTAGTAGGAAAATCTTACACCAGTCAGGTAACAGCACACTTTGGAGAAGTATTAGCATACTTGTCAAGCTCATTGCATACAGTAATGCTTACCAAAAGCCTTTATCAATATAGCCATGTACATGTTGCTTAGATAAGAATTATCTTAAGAAAGTGACATGATACAGACATTAGAAAAGACAAATGTCTTTGCACTTAACTACTGCTTGGGAGTCGAAATCTAAAATGTTATACATTTTCTTCACGTGAGAAATGAAGTTAGATAAATCAATCTGCCACTTTTTAATACTACCACAGTCAACAAAATGAAAATTAAGCCTGGGTTCTCACAATTTTGAAGGTCATATTAATGGAATATAAATAAAGTGCAATCTTCTGTTCCCAGAAATAAAAAGTATGTAAGCAGTTAAGCGACAAGTGATAATACTTTTTAAAGAGCAATGATTAAAATCAACTATGGAAAAATTAAGCCCCACAGAATTTTACCCCAAAAATATCCCAAAGGGGGCACTAGCAGCATGGCACAAGCACTAGGCCCTGAGTTCAACCCCCAAGTACTACCAAAAATAAAAAAAATCCTAAAGGGAAAGGGGAGGATTTATCAGTTTGCTTTGTTACTGCCAATTAAAGAAAAAAAAAAAAAAACCCCAAATTAAAACCCTGATGTTAGTCAGACAGGCAGTGATAATGGTACCAAATAAAGGACATAATGTAACATGATGGGTTGAAAGGTAATGGCATAAAAGAGACATATTATACATGACAAAAACAGGGCAGCCTGTACTCCAAACTGAGTTTGTGAGCATGCTCAGTTAATCACACAGCTAAATCCCCTTTAAAGTCTCAAGTATGACAGCTTACCATAAAGAAGATAAAGTTTTAAAGCAAAGGTTGGAACATTTTATTCAAGTGTCAATGAAGTCTTAATTAAGTGGACACAATTGAGGTGATGTTAAAAAACCTTCCAGAATTTAGAGCTTAGTGAGAATGTCTAGTTTAGATTATTTTACACTAAGTTAAATAGGCTTGAAGCAAAAGTGAGACCAAGACACTGCCGTAAGGAAAAAAGTTAAGAGCCAAGAGTTCAAAACTACTTTGCCTCAGTGACAGTCACAGAAAGACTGGATTAGTTATCACAAAATGCAGTCTGTACATCCCTAGAAACAAGCAACAATGCAAGTCAATGCTCCACAACCAAATAACACACAGCACTCCAGTTTCTTATCCTTACCAGTTTCTATCAAAAAATCACTTCTCACATAGTATTTTTTATTTTTACAAAGCAAACACAGGTTCATTCTACCTTCCAAGTTAGTTCTTCCAACAGGCAATGTTTCTTGTTTTGTTTTTAAGTTAGGGAAGAAAATATTTAGGCTTCAGTTTTTCTAGTTGGAAAAACTCCAACAAGACCACTCATTGGTCACAGGAAATGTTACCTGACTTCAAGAAAAAGTGGACCATGAGATGACTCCATGAAGATGGAATCTTCTACAGAGCTGACAGCGTGCACCTGGTGAGCAATACTGCTTTCGTCGTCTGCCAACAGCATGGCACCCCACTCAGCTACCCGGGCTCTTAACCTTTCATACACATGCACACAGTTTGCAGTTTACAGCAGAGCTCACGAAAAAGAGGCCTTAAATATCTCTCAATTAAACATCATACACACACACATATATATTTATATATTGAGTTGCCACTCCATGTAATACATCTCATGCTTTCTGCATTTTAAATAAATGTATTCTATAGCAAATTGCCAAACTTAAACATATCAGCTATATGTAGTCTTTTAAACATTTATATACCAGTCAAGGAAACCTAAAGTTGCTATATTCATTCCTTATACATCCCTCTGAGGCTGGTCTTGGTATATCTGAAACACCAGGAGGAATCCTTGAAGCTAATACCATAAATAGTACTTGAGAACATGTGATAACCACGGTATTCACTTGAAATGAGGTTAACAATTACTAAGTTCACAGATGCTTATAATTTCAAACTATTAAAACTACATGGCTGGGAAAGTGGCTCAAATGGTACAGCACTGCCTAGCAAGCACAAAGCCCTGAGTTCAAATCCCAGTGCCACACACACATACAAAAAAACCCACACTTACAACTAGGCTGGTGAAGTGGCTCAAACAGTAAAGCGTGTGCCTGATAAGCACGAGGCCCCGAGTTCAAACCCTAGTACCGCCAAAACAATAAAAACAAAAACCTTAGAACTACACATTTGTGCAAAATTGACTCCAAAACCCAAACTCAGGGATCCATCACCCAGGAGCTATGATAAGAGTAACAAACTTTACATCTTCAAGAGAGATGTACAGAATTTGAAATGCATCTACATCCATACCACTGTGAATGTGCCCAAGCCTGTCAGAATTTAAAGACTGCAGGGGTTGAAAGTACATTACAGCTTTTGCTTCAGCTTTGGTCTTCCAATAATTACCTTCACTGATGGAGCCTTTTGTTTTTATCTGTAATTTTCACATTTACTCTTTAACTGATAGGGAGAAAGGGACTAGCTGTTAAGATCAGTCCAAATGACATCATACAAAAATTCTTGAAATACAGATAGATGTTTCACATAGCTCCCCGTTATGGGTTCCCCCACCCCCAGTACTGGGGATCGAACTCAGGGCCTACACCTTGAGCCCCTTTTTTGTCTTTTTTTTTTCTCAAGATAGAGTCTCACAAATTGTTTGTCTGGGTTGGCTTCAAACCATGATCCTCCTGATCTCTACCACCTGAGTAGCTAGGATTGCAGGCATGAACCACCAGCACCCGGTTTATTTTTTTGTTTGCTTTTTTGAGACAGAGTCTTGCAATGTAGCCCAGGTTGGCCTCAAACTCTCAATTCTTCTGCCTCAGTCTAGTGAGTACTGCGATTATAGATGTGTGCCACCATGGCTGGCTTTCCCTTTGTTATGTTTTAAGTATTACCATTTGTGAAATAATATGTTCTGATGGACTTTATTGCTTAGTTTTCTTCTGCATTTCAAGATGGCAATTATTATTTCTCCCAAACTATAGTACAGACTTCAAAGGACAAAATAGAGTCATGTGTGTGTGTGTGTGTGAGAAACACTATACAGTATAGATACATGCTCGAGATATAGTAGGGTAAAACTTAAGGCAACTATTAACTCATAAAATATATTCCAAGGAAGTTATGGAAGTGGTTTAAGATACTTTTAGACATGCAAAGATACTTAGAGAACTGTTTTATGTCTTTATCATGAGCATGTAAAAGTTCCACTATGGGGTTCTATTTATAAAAGAGAGAGCATGGATGGCACCCTTGTCATTGCTTAGCTAACTGACACTACCCAAATAGAAAATAGTGTGATTTTCAAGAGGCCACGAATAGCCAAGGCAATACTCAGTCAAAAGAACAATGCAGGAGGTATCACAATACCTGACTTCAAACTATATTACAAAGCAATAACAATAAAAACAGCATGGTACTGGCACAAAAACAGACATGAAGACCAGTGGAACAGAATAGAGGACCCAGATATGAAGCCAAACAACTATAACCAACTTGTCTTTGACAAAGGAGCTAAAAATATACGATGGAGAAATAGCAGCTTCTTCAACAAAAACTGCTGGGAAAAGTGGTTAGCAGTCTGCAAAAAACTGAAACTAGATCCATGTATATCACCCTACACCAATATTAACTCAAAATGGATCAAGGATCTTAATATCAGACCACAAACTCTAAAGTTGATACAGGAAAGAGTAGGAAATACTCTGGAGTTAGTAGGTATAGCTAAGAACTTTCTCAATGAAACCCCAGCAGCACAGCAACTAAGAGATAGCATAGATAAATGGGACCTCATAAAGCTAAAAAGCTTCTGTTCATCAAAAGAAATGGTCTCTAAATTGAAGAGAACACCCACAGAGTGGGAGAAAATATTTGACAGCTATACATCTGACAAAGGACTGATAACCAGAATATATAGGGAACTTAAAAAACTAAATTCTCCCAAAACTAATGAGCCAATAAAGAAATGGGCAAGTGAACTAAACAGAACGTTCTCAAAAGAAGAAATTCAAATGGCCAAAAAACACATGAAAAAATGCTCACCATCTCTAGCAATAAAGGAAATGCCAATTAAAACCACACTAAGATTCCACCTCACCCCTGTTAGAATAGCCATCATTAGCAACACCACCAACAACAGGTGTTGGCGAGGATGCGGGGAAAACGGAACCCTCTTACACTGTTGGTGGGAATGTAGACTAGTACAACCACTCTGGAAAAAGATGTGGAGGCTACTTAAAAAGCTAGACATTGATCTACCATTTGATCCAGCAATACCACTCTTGGGGATATACCCAAAAGACTGTGACACAGGTTACTCCAGAGGCACCTGCACACCCATGTTTATTGCGGCACTATTCACAATAGCCAAGTTATGGAAACAGCCAAGATGCCCCAGCACTGACGAATGGATTAAGAAAATGTGGTATCTATACACAATGGAATTTTATGCAGCCATTCACTGGTAAATGGATGGAACTGGAGAACATCATTCTGAGTGAGGTTAGCCTGGCCAAAAAGACCAAAAATCGTATGTTCTCCCTCATATGTGGACACTAGATCAAGGGCAAACACAACAAGGGGATTGGACTTTGAGCACATGATAAAAGCGAGAGCACACAAGGGAGGGGTGAAGATAGGTAACACACCAAAAAATTAGCTAGCATTTGTTGCCCTTAATGCAGAGAAACTAAAGCAGATACCTTAAAAGCAACTGAGGCCAATAGGAAAAGGGGAACAGGTACTAGAGAAAAGGTTAGTTCAAGAAGAATTAACCTAGAAGGTAACACCCACGCACAGGAAATCAATGTGAGTCAATGCCCTGTATAGCTATCCTTATCTCAACCAGCAAAAACCCTTGTTCCTTCCTACTATTGCTTATACTCTCTCTACAACAAAATTAGAAATAAGGGCAAAATAGTTTCTGCTGGGTATTGGGGGGGGAGAGGGAGGGGGTGGACTGGGTGGTAAGGGAGGGGGTGGGGGCAGGGGGGAGAAATGACCCAAGCCTTGTATGTACATATGAATAATAAAATAAAAAAATAAATAAAATTATAACATAAAAAAACAAAACAGAAAATGTGTGATTTTTAAATGCATTTCATAAGTATCAAAAACTGACTTATGTTTGTGATTTCAGGTCTCCAACAGAGACAGAATAACAGTTTTATAAAACTGAATACTACTTCATCTCTAAGACACAAATAATTCTTTACATTCAAGAACATAATCCTTTCAAATGACTCACTTAAAATACCATCTTAGAATAAGTTACAACACCATATTGCATAGCTTTCCTTTCTTTTTAAAGTTTATTTTCTTTTGGACTAATCGACACTCATTAGGAAATATATAGCAAATAAAGGAAAGTAGAAAAAAAATCATGAGTCCCATTCATCTGAGGCAAATGAAAATTTTGAGTGTTTCCTTATACTTTTTCTAGTATTTTTTACATAGCTTCAAACACAATATGTGTAATTTATATATATGTTGAAACTTATTATAAGAGACTCTCCATAGATTATGGACACTTCATTTAAAATGGCTCCATTGTATTCCATTCTCCTATTGCTGGCCATCTCCATTTATTGGTGATTGTAAATAAAATAATGAATAACTTTCTACATAAGATTTTTCTCCCCATTTAGAATATTTTCCTTCAGACAGACTACCAGAAATGAATATTAGAGGTCAACAATGTGTATGGGTACATGTAGTAAGGTCCTTTTTTTGTCTAGCAATATATCAGAATTGTCAAATACTCTACATGGGATAAAATCATTTAGATCAGCAGTATATCTTTTTAGAAGAAAAGAAATAATGACGAGATGCTGGAATATAACCCTAATTAATCATTTGCAGCTTATCAAAGCTTTTTATCTCTTGCGTAAAAAATCAGTATGTCTGGGACGCTGGTTTCGAGCTTAGAAGTGCATAGGGCCCTCATGTATATCTGCTGTCAAGCTCTCTTCAGCATAAGTGTGAGGCCAACCAATGTGTCTGGACTTAATTATCACTAAGAGTGCCTCTTAATGCAGAGGAGCAAATGACTCAAAATCCAAGCAATAAAGAGTTAAGTGAAATCTAGACCTAAAAAAGGTAGTATGACGATTGTAAAAGGGGGAGTGTTTGGAGGGGAGAATCAGTGGGTGGGAAGAGGGGGAAAGGAGAGGGTGAAAGGTGTGGGGCTGAATATTATAGAAGTACATTATATATTATTATATAAATGTATGAGAACAGCACAATGACAGGGCCAGAAGCATGGCTCAAGAGGTAGAGTGCCTGCCTAGCAAGAGGCCCTGAGTTCAAACCCCAGTGTTTACAAGAAAAAAAAAAAAGAAGAAAAGAAAAGAGCACCATGAAACCCATTAAAAACTGTTAAAGCTTGGTGCTGGTGGCTCATGCCTATTATTCTAGCTATTCAGGAGGCATAGATTAGGAGGATTGTGGTTCAAAACCAGCCTGGGCAAAGAGTTCCGGGAGACCCTATCTTGAATAAAACCCTTCACAAAAAAAGGCTAGTGGAGTG